CGGGAAGGAGCCTCTCAGGACAGCCTCTCCCCCTCATGTCACTCCACCCGAGTCACCCCAGCAGAGGGCACACACACAAAGCCTGCGTCTTCTGGGGGATGACAACAGCCACCACTTGTTTAGACACTGCTGTTTCCGAGGCACGTGCAAGGTGGCCTCCCGTTTGTACCTTAAGCCCTGGGGAGAAGCCGGCCGACTGTCCTTCTGTTCCTGGTCACAACGACTGGGGCAAACGAGAAGGCAGGAACCGGGACCCAGGACCCAGACTGGCGGGCGGGGAGGGCCCACGCACTTCGCAAGAAATATGTTTTCCAATATTTACAAAATTATTTATATTACAGGAATGGTCGTTTTCCATGTGAAATACAGGATTTATTTGAACTGGGAAACAGCTGAGATCTATAAGTCTCTTACAGTTACTTGGCTTACCTCAGCAGCTTGATAAATCATGCATTTTCCCGTGAACTGTCATTTATATTCCTGTTTCCAGAGGGCCTCTTTCCCCACAACGCACACTTGCAGGGTATGAAATTAACGGCACCTCGAGATTAACAGTCCATTTTTGTGATGGATCTCTAGGCCGCAAAATTTACTCAATCCAATAGATCAATAACTGTCACCAGCATAAATACTCTAAAAGATTAGGCAATCCTTCAATCATTTTTCTTTTGCAACTTGGGCATGTTTATTTATTCTCTTCTATTTTAGCTGTGATATCACTGGCCATGCAGGGAAGAATACACAAATGAAACGATGGGAGTGGGACCCTCGACAGTAACTACGGTACTGAAAGCGTTTCCGCTCCCTGCTCCTCTCCTGGGTGAGGCCAGCCATCGCCAGCCCAATGCCTGGCTGCTCAGGGCTGGCCGGCCACACTGCCTGAGACTTACGGGTTTCATCCCATGTGTCTCCACATAAATCAGGGCACACAGTGGGCAGGAAGGATTGTCATATTCAGTTTACAACATGGCCCAGAAGGGATTTATCCTAGTCCCCCAGCGTAGGTAAAAAGGCAGGGCTGGGGTCGGATCTGCAATGACACCGAAGAAGCGACCAAGACAGCAGAAAGCCCGACAGGCTGCAGCCTGGGAGCCCTGACGGTCGAGGTCCTCCTGGCAGTGCTCCCTCTTGGCTGCTGTGGATACGTGAGTTGAAACCTGGCTGCCATCTTTGGATTATGCTCTTAGCCTTGAGGGAAACATTTCTGGAGACTCTGCAAGAGCCCAGACTTAGGAAACTACCACGATGAGCCCCAGAAGCCAGTGTCTGCACCGACAAAGGCCTGCTCTGGCCATCCTACTGGCCTCAGGGCTCAGACCGGCCTCAGCCAAAGGCTCAGCACCACTCCTGGGGGCAGTGGGCACCCCAGCACCGGTGACGGTGAGGTTTGGGGACATGGAGCACGCCCTGGAGCAAAAGGGTCTTTTAGGTATGAGAGAATTCATAGAGATCTGAATATTCCTTCAAATTATCGAGCCGCTCTTCCTGTTGTTTTAATAAAGAAAATTTCGCTAAGAAGAGATAGCATTTCCTAAGAGAATGAAAGCACAGTGGGAGAAAATAGATTTGCTATTCATAAGATGAGAAGTGCTGTTCATCTGTGGGAGATCATAAGAGACTATTTTCTCCCCAGCTTAGCATTAGTCTTTTCACGCTGATATCATGAGTCAGAATGAAATGTAAAACTGAGAATTAGGCAAACACTTAGAAGAAGGAGATTGTTCTGTTTATAGAAATCTCCTTTGCCTGGCAGTGGGCTATTAAGGCAGCAGACTACACTAGCAGTCAAGCACCTAAAAGTTTAGCAATCATATGATTAACAAGTTGAAAATAGAAAAGAGTAGCAAGGAAAATAGAGAGGGGGAAGACAATGTCCTGTATTACAGCAAATTATCAAAACGGGAATGCTGAGATAAAAACTGCGGGTGTGGATGCAGCCACTTTAGCAGCAGGGCCACCCGCGGCCGACCGACTCACCTGGTCCATCCTGGTCACCCCGACGTCCGCGGTGGCCGACTGCACCGTGATGCGGGGCACGGGCTGGGAAGACAAGCACACGCAGCTCAAGGACCAAGAGCGGCTGAAAGGGACGGCGGCGGCGCGCGGAGGACCCACCCGGGGCAAGGCGGCCCTTCAGACACGCCAGCCCCGTGAGCGCCACACCCTCCGAGAAGTACGGAAGCCAGCGAGGGCTTATGCCCCGCCGGAGGAACCGGCCACGGGCTCGAATCGGCAACACGCGCGGTACGGTTAGCGCAGCCTCGCTGACGACGCGCCCACTCGACCAACGGCGCGTCTGTACCGACCGGCGCTGCGAGACCGCACGGGGAGCGGCTTCGGGCAGGAGGCGGCGGTCCGGCCGTGCCTGGAAGGACAGAGAGGACCCGGCGCGAGAAGTACGTGACGTGGGCAGGCCGGCAGGCAGTGCGGCTGGAGCACAAATCCAGGAGGCCTTGGTGCCGCGACTAACCGTCCGGGGGCGGTGAGGGGCACCGCAGATTCCTGAGCAAGGCAGCCGAGGGCGGGCAGGGCCTCGAAAGACCGGTGGGGTGGCGCACACAGGGAGGGCAGAATACTGAGAGTTCAAGGAGGCAAATGCTCAGAGATTCAGCAGCAGAGCTGGGGCGAAGAGACACGAGCCTGCAGCGGCGCCACGGGGCTTATGGACACGGGCTTCCAGGGACGTTGGGAAACACGAGCAAGAAGCCACGTCATCCAGGGAAAGAACGAGGCAGGCCGGAGGAGGGCGCAGGACTTCACCCTCCAGCAGCCGCGCTCCAGCGGCCACGGACCCAGAAGCAGGAGGGCAGGTGTGGTGGCCTCTGCAAGACACCAGGAACGGGCCGGCTCCGCCCTTGTCCCCAGCCGCTCCAGCGCCTCCCCGGCCCCCTGCCCGCGCTCGGCTCTAAACCGCACTCCGGCAGAGCAGCACGGGACAGGCCTCTTTCTCGCCGTGTCCACGGGGAGCAACAGCCGGTTGCTCTATTACACAACTTCAGTGCCTAGAGAGGTGGGTTCCAAAGCTCCACGCTTCACTTCTCAGCAGGCCAGTGGCTCCGGCTCCTGTATGTATGGGGCAGCGGAGGCCTCTGTGGGGCCCAGGCCTTCCAGACAGAGCCTGCAGGCCCCAAGCCCAGACGGCCAAAGCCCCCCGCCCTACTGGGCAGCCCAAACTCCAGCCGAAGGGAGAAGAGCCCGCGTGGAACAAAGCAGCCCGCTCCGCAAGTCCCTCACCCATGTTCACAAGCACGAAACGGCCTCGTCTTACTCCAGGGCACCACTGTGACCACTCTCACCTTGGGGCTGCTTTGGAAGGAAAAGTGCTGGAGAGGACCGCTTCTGTGGAAGGCAAAGGGGCCCTGGCAGAATCTGAGAAAAGGCACAGCGGAGCGGTGACCAGGAAAAAGCGAGAGATCAGGCTTAAAGAGATGCAGAGACTGAGGGAACAGCCAAAGGAAAGTACACTCGGCCCAGCACAAGCTGGGGAGTACTGGGGTGTCTGAGGCCAGGGACAGCTGGGATCAGAGGCGTGTCAGAGCAAGCCCACACGAGCGGCCAGCACGACAGAACCAGGAGGAGAGTAAATCTGGTGGTTTGCTGGAGAGCTAACAGGAGCTTGGACCTGGATGGAAAGAGGAAAAGGAAATAGAACTGAAGTTCAGAGGTAAAAGGGGGCTACTTAACACTTGGAAACATTGGCTGCGGCAGCTGGGGAAAGCGAGTCGAAGATGACACCCTGTAAGTAAAGAGGATATGAAGAAGGGAAGATGGTGATTTAGCAAGAAGCATATGTGTGTGTGCGCGGGGGTGGACGGTGCTGAGCCTCCTGCATCTGGCAGTGGCCCGCGATGAGTTCGGCAGCCTTAGCAAGGGCGCCAGATATCCCCACCAAGTGTACGGAAATCTTAACTGTGCCACTTGTCCTTCACATGTAACAGCTCAAGCCTCCAAATGTGTACTGCTTGCATTTTCATGCTCTTTTGCATTTCCCCTGTGCAGGCAGTCACCTCCTATTTCAGGAGCTCAAAACATTTCAGATCGTAAGTTCATTAATCCTTACGACACATCTGGTAACTATTAATAAAAATGACTGCAAAGTATTTCGCAGCTATAAATATTAAGGAGAAGTCCATGAGGCAAGCGAATATTAATTATCTACACTTTACACTAGAGAAACCAAGGCTCAGAGAGCATTTACCTAATGGTTAAATGCGTTCACGTTGTCCTGTGAGTTGGCGACAGAGATGGGAAGGACTAAGTTCTCCAGTGCAAGCTGCACCTGCAATCATGCCATCTACTGAGCGCTGCTGAACCTGAGAAGGTGAGCAGCTCACAGGCAACAGAACAGCTTAGAAGTATATCGGGGAAAGGTGACGGTCACTTGAACCCGTCTCACCATTTTTTAACTCTGGCTCTCACATGCCACATGTCTATGGCGGGGAGCAGCTCAGAATCTCAGAACTTGACATTAAAGTGATGTTGGAGACCCTCTGTGCAAAAGAATAAAATCTGAACTTCTTGGCATAGCATACTAGATCTCGATGAGGTTGCACCTGGCCTTGCTTGATAAACAGCACCCTGAATTCCCTCAATACGCTATTTTCCAGACCCTTCCTCACGTTGTTCCCCTGAGGGAAACATGTTCCACCCCGTAATACCCATTCTCTCTTAAGTCTCAGCTCAGGTATGATCTAATCTTCCTGAAATTGCAGATGAAATGTCCACTGCCTTCACTGTATGGTCCCCAGACACACACACATGACAGTATTCATAGCATCATTCTACCATGGTCTATTTATCTGTTGATGTGGCTCTAAAGGAAATTCTCTAAACTTCAAGCTCTTTGAAGGGTAAGAATTACGTTTCATTCATCTCTGTATTTCCTTATAAAAAAAACAACAAAAAACAGTGGCTCAGCGGGGTGCAGAGGCTTACACCTATAATCCCAGCACTTTGGGAGGTGAAGGTGAGAGGATTGCCTGAGCCAGGGGTTCAAGACCAGCCTGGGCAACTTTACGAGACCTTGTCTCTACAATTAAAAAAAAAAAATAGCCAGGCTTCAGTGTGCCTGTAGTTCCAGCTACTTGGAAGGCTGAGGCAGAAGGATCACCAGAGCCTAGGAGGTCGAGGTTGCGGTAGCTGTGAGCATGGCACTGCACTCCAGACTTGGCAACAGAGTGAGGCTCTGACTCAAAAAATAAAAGTGGCTTAATTTTGTTGAATAAATAGAAAAATAAATGCATGAATTACTTACAAGTGACACAAAGAACATAAATTGTACAGTTACACACAATTTGGAAAGAACAGACCTTCTGAAATTTTGACACGATGGTACGTAAAAGGGGAGAAGAGATATCAGCTGAGGGAAGAAGTAACCACTTTAAAACTTCCCCAAAATCAAATTCTCTGATGCATTTTTTGTTTGAAAATAAGCCTTTCCTAATAATCACCTCTTACCCTGAACTTGAAACATTTTCAAATGCCATTTTAATAGTGCTAAATTAATACAATAATTTATGTCTTTTCCTAGACACTAACCAATGATTTAAGTCCAAGTGTAGGATATTATTTTTACTCTAAAGCTGTCAACGATTCTCCACTGCCTGCAGAGACAAGGAAACATGGACTTGTTCTGCTTGGTGTATTTTCATGGCTTCTCCAGTCCCTCCTTCAAATACTTTACTGATTCATTCATTCTACAAACATATCACTGGATTATTTTTAATCACATTCAGATGAACTCTCTTATGATCACGTGTGCATTAAACGTTGCTTTTTGGATATAAATCTCAGCTCTGCCACTCACGAGGCTCTCTGTACTCCAAGGAGGTGCTCACCCTCCCTCCCCCCAAATCTCAGGTTTCCTCAACTAGGGCAGCATCACCTGACACGGCAGCCACTGGCCACAGGTGGTAACCCAGTCCTTACAATGTGACTGAAAAAGTAAATTTTTACTTTAATTAATAAAACGTTAACTTAAAAACTGAAGTGCTTTTAAGTATGTTTGGAACAGCCTGGGCATGTGAATCGACTTTTTCAACTGTACCTTTTATGAATTCTAAATGCAGATCAAGTATTTCCAACAGAAATTTAATATGTGAATTGCAATGTGCTAAAAATGTAAAATACACACCTGATTTCAAGGACTTTTTACAGAAAAAAGGATGGGAATATCTCAACAGTTTTTGCTATTCCAGGTACATATGACAATGTTTTGAATATACCAAGTTAAATAAATTATGTTACTAAAATTAATCCGAGCTGTCTTCTTTTCACTTTCTTTTTTTTTTTTTGAGTTGGAGTCTCACTCGGTCGCCCAGACTGGAGTGCAGTGGCCACTCCTGGCCACCGCAGCCTTGCCTGCTGGGCTCCGGCGATCCTTCCACCTCAGTCTTCCGAGTAGCCGGAATTACAGGCATGCTCTACCATGCCCGGCTGATTTTTTGATGTATTGTAGAGATGAGGTCTCGCTGCCCAGGCGGGTCTCGAACCCGCGGGCTCAGGCAATCCACTCACCTCAGCCTCCCAAAGGCGCGGGATTACAGGCTGAGCCACCGAGCCCGGCCTTTTTTCACTTTCTTAAATGTGGCTACTAGAAAATTTTAAATCACATCCACGGCTTGAATTATACTTCTGTTGGACAGTACTGACCCAACTCGGCCCTTTTGTTGAGACGATGCATGAAAACCCCTGGCGGGGTGCCAGCCACAGAGTGTACCTGGGACATTTGTCAAGCATCTCAGTTGTCATAATCCCTGGACTATTGTATGTTTTCTTCCAAGATGTTTCTAAGTTGGCTTTCTACAAGTACATTTTTAAGCAATAATGATTATATCTGATCTAGAAATCAAAAGTTTCTGATTAATTGTGCTTATTAGTTCCAAGGCCATTCCAGGATGCAACACTAATTCTATTTTCTTTCAAACAAAGAACGCCAAGATTGTAAAAATTTACCCATTCACAAATATGTAGCAGGTGCCTACTAGATTCTAAGGATTGTGCCAGGAGCTGGGGATATAGTGTGAGCAAAACTAAACACA